TAGTGAGAAAAAACCTGGTAACACATCTGGAGAGAAGGGACTTCGTGACAAATCGCCAACATGGGTTCAGGGAGGGTAAATCTTGCCTGACTGCCTTAATAGAATTCTACGACCAGGTGACAAAGATTAAGCAAGAAAGAGAAGGCTGGGCGGACTGCATTTTCTTGAATTGTCGGAAAGCCTTTGACACAGTACCGCATAAGAGGCTTCTACATAAGCTGGAGAGACAGGCAGGTGTAGCTGGTAAGGTGCTCCAGTGGATAAGGGAATACCCGAGCAATAGGAAGCAGAGAGTTACGGTGAGGGGTGAGACCTCCGATTGGCGTGAAGTCACCAGTGAAATCCCACAGGGCTCTGTTCTCGGTCCTATCTTGTTTCTGATATATATAAATGATCTCCCGGAGGGTATAGTTTCATTTATCTCAATGTTTGCGAACGATGCCACAATTATGAGAAGGATTAAGACAGAGGTGGACTGCTTAAGGCTTCAAGAAGACCTAGACAAGCTGAAAGAATAGCCAACAAATGGTTGTTAGAGTTTAACCCAAGCAAATGTAATGTAATGTAATGAAAATAGGTGTAGGGAGCAGGAGGCAAGATACAAGGTATCATCTGGGAGATGAATTACTTCAAGAGTCAGAGAAAGAAAATGACTTGGGGGTTGATATCACGCCAGACCTGTCTCCTGCAGCACATATCAAGAGGATAACATCAATGGCATATGCCAGGTTGGCCAACATACGAACGGCATTCAGAAACTTGTGTAAGGAATCATTCAGAACTTTGTATACCACGTATGTCAGGCCAATCCTGGAGTATGCAGCCCCAGCATGGAGTCCATATCTAGTCAAAGATAAGACCAAACTGGAAAAGGTTCAAAGGTTTACCACCAGACTAGTACCCGAGCTGAGAGGTATGAGTTACAAGGAGAGACTACGGGAATTAAACCTTACTTCGTTGGAAGACAGAAGAGTTAGGGGGGACATGATCTCCACATTCAAGATTCTCAAGGGAATTTGTAGGGTACATAAAGACAGTCTATTTAACACAAGGGGCACACGCACTAGGGGACACAAGTGGAAACTGAGTGCCCAAATGAGCCACAGAGATATTAGAAAGAACTTTTTTAGTGTCAGAGTGGTTGATAAATGGAATGCATTAGGAAGTGATGTGGTGGAGGCTGACTCCATACACAGGTTCAAATGTAGATATGATAGAGCCCAATAGGTTTAGGAACCTGTACACCTGTTGATTGACGGTTGAGAGGCGGGACCAAAGAGCCAGAGCTTAACCCCGCCAGCACAATTAGGTGAGTACAATTAGGGGAGTACACACACACACACACACACACACACACACACACACACACACACACACACACACACACACACACACACACACACACACACACACACACACACACACACACACACACACACACACACACACACACACACAATGGAAATGGAAGTTGAAGACCTGGAAAATCGAGTTACCAATGAGTGCACAAGCTTCATACATGGAACTCTGACAGTAGATGGGAGGAAGATTGTGATCTTGGTAATCTACAATCCCCCACCAAACAGTAGAAGACCCAGGCAGGAGTATGATGACAACAACAAAGCATGTATAGATGAACTGCAGAAGGCAGCAACACTAGCCCACAGAATGAGAGCGAAGCTGCTGATCATGGGGGACCTAAACCATGGAGAGATAAATTGGGAATCAAGGAATCCTCATGGAGGGGACGAAACGTTGGGAGCAAAATTAGTAGATGTTATAGACAGGAATTTCCTGACACAACATGTGAAGGAAGACACAAGGGAAAGAGGAGGAGATGCACCGAGCCTATTAGACCTGATTTTCACCCAGAACGTAGAAGATATTGAGAATTTAGAGCATGAAATACCTCTAGGGGCCAGTGACCATTGTGTCCTAGTCTTTGACTACATGATGGAATTCAAACTTATGACCATGGGACAAGAGATCTGGGAAAGGAGAGCTGACTACAGGAAAGGGGACTATATGAGGATAAGGGACTATCTGGATGAAGTGCAGTGGGAGGAAGAAATTAGAGGAAAAACAGTCCAAGATATGATGGACCTAGTCATACAGAAATGCCAGGAGGCCGAAGAGAGATTTATACCAACGGTAAAGGGAAAAAATAAGAAGGAATATAATAACCCATGGTTTAATAGACAGTGTCAGGAAGCAAAAATGGCCAGCAGGCGGGAGTGGAGGAAGTACAGAAGACAAAGAACAGAGGACAACAGAAGCAGATACAACAGAGCTAGGAACGATTACATTAACATAAGACGAACATCGGAAAGGGACTATGAAAACGATATTGCAATCAAAGCGAAAAAACAACATAAGTTACTACACAGTCATATAAGAAGAAAAATGTCGGTGAACGACCAAGTGACAAGACTAAGGAAGACAGAGGGGGCATATACTGAAAGTGACAAGGAAATCTGCGAGGCACTGAAAGCCAGTTTCCATGGAGTGTTCACTACCGAGCCTGAGCAGCTCCCATTGTTGGAAGGGGTTACCCTAGATGGAAGACTATCAGATATAGAGGTGACAGCAGAGGAGGTAATGAAACAGTTGACAACTCTAGATGCAACTAAAGCAGTTGGACCAGACAAAGTATCACCGTGGATACTAAAAGAAGCAGCACAGGCCCTCAGCGTGCCTCTGGCAATGATCTTTAATGAGTCACTTATGTCAGGAGAATTGCCCAGTTGCTGGAAGAAGGCAAATGTCGTGCCGATCTTCAAGAAAGACGATAGGGAGGAGGCACTTAACAATAGACCTGTATCACTGACAAGCATCCCCTGTAAAATACTGGAAAGAATAATTAGGCTACGACTGGTTGCACACCTGGAGAACATTAGGTTTGTGAACAAACATCAACATGGGTTCTGGACAGGGAAATCGTGCCTAACAAACCTTCTGGAATTCTATGATAAAATAACGAGGATAAGACAGGACAGATATGGTTGGGCAGACTGCATATTTCTGGACTGCCAAAAAGCCTTTGATACAGTACCGCACATGAGACTGCTGTTCAAGCTCGAGAGGCAGGCGGGGGTGGGGGGAAAGGTCCTAGCATGGATAAGGAACTACCTAACAGGAAGGAGCCAAAGAGTTACGGTAAGGGGCGAGAAGTCGGACTGGCGAACAGTAACAAGTGGAGTACCACAAGGATCGGTGCTGGGACCAATTCTATTTCTTGTATATGTTAACGACATGTTTACAGGCGTAGAGTCCTACATGTCGATGTTTGCGGATGATGCAAAGTTGATGAGAAGAGTTGACAGATGAGGATTGCAGGATCCTCCAAGAGGACCTGAACAGATTGCAGAGATGGTCAGAGAAATGTCTACTAGAATTCAACACGAGCAAATGTAAAGTTATGGAAATGGGACTAGGAGATAGGAGACCAAAGGGACAGTACACAATGAAGGGGAACAGCCTACTGTAACGACGCGTGAAAGAGACCTGGGGGTGGACGTAACACCTAATCTATCTCCTGAGGCACATATTAATAGGATAACGACAGCAGCGTACTCTACACTGGCAAAAGTTAGAACATCATTCAGAAACCTAAGTAAGGAGGCATTTAGGGCGCTTTATACTGCCTACGTAAGGCCAGTCTTAGAGTATGCCGCCTCATCATGGAGTCCCCATCTGAAGAAGCATATAATGAAACTGGAAAAGGTTCAGAGGTTTGCAACGAGACTCGTCCCAGAGCTACGAGGGATGGGGTATGAGGAGCGCCTGAGGGAACTGTGCCTTACGACACTAGAAAGAAAAAGGGAGAGGGGGGACATGATAGGAACGTATAAGATACTCAGAGGGATTGACAGAGTGGACATAGACGAAATGTTCACACGGAATAGTAACAGAACGAGAGGACATGGATGGAAGCTTGAAACTCAGATGAGTCACAGAGATGTTAGGAAGTTTTCTTTTAGCGTGAGAGTAGTGGGGAAATGGAATGCACTTCAGGAACAGGTTGTGGAAGCAAATACTATTCATAATTTTAAAACCAGGTATGATAGGGAATTGGGACAAGAGTCATTGCTGTAAACAACCGATGCTCGAAAGGCGGGATCCAAGAGTCAATGCTCGATCCTGCAGACACAACTAGGTGAGTACACACACAAACACACACAAACACACACACACACACACACACACACACACACACACACACACACACACACACACACACACACACACACACACACACACACACACACACACACACACATCAAGAGGCTCATATCAAGAGGATAACATCAGCGGCATATGCCAGGTTGGCTAACATAAGAACGGCCTTTAGAAACTTGTGTAAGGAATCTTTCAGAACATTATATACCACATATGTCAGACCAATCCTGGAGTATGCGGCTCCAGCATGGAGTTCATATCAGTCAAGCGTATGACTAAACTGGCAAAGGTTCAAAGGTTTGCCACCAGACTAGTACCCCGAGCTGAGAGGTATGAGCAACGAGGAGAGACTACGGGAATTAAACCTCACTTCGTTGGAAGATAGAAGAGTTAGGGGGGACATGATCACCACATTCAAGATTCTCAAGGGAATTGATAGGGTAGATAAAGACAGTCTATTTACCACAAGGGGAACACGCACTAGGGGACACTGAGTGTTCAAATGAGCCACAGAGATATTAGAAAGAACTATTTTAGTGTCAGAGTGGTTGAAAAATGGAATGCATTAGGAAGTGATGTGGTGGAGGCTGACTCCATACACAGCTTCAAGTGTAGATATGATAGAGCCCAATAGGCTCAGGAACCTGTACACCTGTTGATTGATGGTTGAGAGTCGGGACTAAAGAACCAAAGCTCAACCCCCGCAAGCACAAATAGGTGAGTACAAATAGGTGAGTATACATACACAAACCCCGATGAAAGAGCCGAAGCTGAATCCCCGCAAACACAACTAGGTGAGCACACACCCCAGTCACACCTACCTGCTGATTCCTTTATAATGAGGTGGTAGTTGACGGAGGCGGACCCAGCACTCTCTCCAAATATAGTGACCCGGCTGCTGTCGCCTCCGAAGCCCTCTATGTTATCCTGGACCTGCGGTGAGACTCAGCGTCACCACACACACCATGCTAGCTTTAGAAATACTACTAAGGGGGTAATTATTATTAAACACTGCCTCCAGAAACTTGTGTAAGGAATCATTCTGAATCTTGTTTACCACGCATGTAAGATCAGTTCTGGAGTATGCAGCTCCAGCATGGAGTCTATACCTTGTCAAGTATAAGATGAAGCTAGAGAAGGCTCAAAGGTATGCCACTAGAATAGACCTAGAACTATAAGGTGTAAGTTACGAGGAAAGGCTGCGTGAATTGCACTTCAAGTCGCTGGACGACAGAAGAGTTCGGGGAGACACGATCACCACATACAAAATTCTCAGGAGGATTTGCAGGGTAGATAAGGACAGATTATTTAGCATTGGTGGCACTCGCACAAGGGAACACAGGTGGAAGCTGAGTACCCAAATAAGCCACAGAGACATTAGGAAGAACTTTTTGAGTGTCAGAGTAGTTAATAAATGGAATGCACTATACAGTGATGTGGTGGAGGCTGACTCCATACTCAGTTTAATATGTAAAGATTAAAGTGCCCAGTAGGCCCAGTAATCTATACACCAATAGATTGACAGTTCAGAGGGGGACCAAGGAGCCAAAGTTCAAACTCCGCAAGCACAACTGAGTACTAAGGGTCCAGTACCACACTGTCACCACAAGGGTCACCACACTGTCACCACAAAGGTCACCAAACTGTCACCACAAAGGTCACCACACTGTCACCACAAAGGTCACCACAAGGGTCACCACACTGTCACCACAAAGGTCACCAAACTGTCACCACAAAGGTCACCACAAAGGTCACCACACTGTCACCACAAGGGTCACCACACTGTCACCACAAAGGTCACCACACTGTCACCACAAAGGTCACCACACTGTCACCACAAGGGTCACCACACTGTCACCACAAGGGTCACCACACTGTCACCACAAAGGTCACCACACTGTCACCACAAAGGTCACCACACTGTCACCACACTGTCACCACAAAGGTCACCACACAGGTCACCACAAGGGTCACCCCAAGGGTCACCACAAAGGTCACCACAAGGGTCACCACAAGGGTCACCACAAAGGTCACCACACTGTCACCACAAAGGTCACCACAAGGGTCACCACAAGGGTCACCACAAAGGTCACCACAAAGGTCACCACAAGGGTCACCACAAGGGTCACCACAAGGGTCACCACAAAGGTCACCACAAGGGTCACCACACTGAGGGTTGCCACACTGAGGGTTACCACACTAAGGTTCATCACACTAAGGGTCACCACAGACTCTAAAGAGATGACAGTATAGTGACGAGCACAGGTTGTGAAGCCCTAACAACGTCAGCATAACTAACCCTCTTCATGGCTTGACAACGTCAGCATAACTTACCCTCTTCATGGCTTGACAACGTCAGCATAACTTACCCTCTTCATGGCTTGACAACGTCAGCATAACTTACCCACTTCATGGCTTGACAACGTCAGCATAACTTACCCACTTCATGGCTTGACATCGTCAGCATAACTTACCCTCTTCATGGCTTGACAACGTCAGCATAACTTACCCTCTTCATGGCTTGACAACGTCAGCATAACTTACCCTCTTCATGGCTTGACAACGTCAGCATAACTTACCCACTTCATGGCTTGACAACGTCAGCATAACTTACCCACTTCATGGCTTGACAACGTCAGCATAACTTACCCTCTTCATGGCTTGACATCGTCAGCATAACTTACCCTCTTCATGGCTTGACAACGTCAGCATAACTTACCCACTTCATGGCTTGACAACGTCAGCATAACTTACCCTCTTCATGGCTTGACATCGTCAGCATAACTTACCCTCTTCATGGCTTGACAACGTCAGCATAACTTACCCACTTCATGGCTTGACAACGTCAGCATAACTTACCCTCTTCATGGCTTGACAACGTCAGCATAACTTACCCTCTTCATGGCTTGACAACGTCAGCATAACTAACCCTCTTCATGGCTTGACAACGTCAGCATAACTTACCCTCTTCATGGCTTGACAACGTCAGCATAACTTACCCTCTTCATGGCTTGACAACGTCAGCATAACTTACCCACTTCATGGCTTGACAACGTCAGCATAACTTACCCTCTTCATGGCTTGACAACGTCAGCATAACTTACCCACTTCATGGCTTGACAACGTCAGCATAACTTACCCTCTTCATGGCTTGACATCGTCAGCATAACTTACCCTCTTCATGGCTTGACAACGTCAGCATAACTAACCCTCTTCATGGCTTGACAACGTCAGCATAACTTACCCACTTCATGGCTTGACAACGTCAGCATAACTTACCCTCTTCATGGCTTGACAACGTCAGCATAACTTACCCTCTTCATGGCTTGTCAACGTCAGCATAACTTACCCACTTCATGGCTTGACAACGTCAGCATAACTTACCCACTTCATGGCTTGACAACGTCAGCATAACTTACCCACTTCATGGCTTGACAACGTCAGCATAACTTACCCACTTCATGGCTTGACAACGTCAGCATAACTTACCCACTTCATGACTTGACAACGTCAGCATAACTTACCCACTTCATGGCTTGACAACGTCAGCATAACTTACCCACTTCATGGCTTGACAACGTCAGCATAACTTACCCACTTCATGACTTGACAACGTCAGCATAACTTACCCACTTCATGGCTTGACAACGTCAGCATAACTTACCCACTTCATGGCTTCGATCTGGTCCCAGAGGCCGGCGTTACCCGGAGCATCGACATTGTCGAGGCTGAAGAAACCTGAAAATTAAACAAATGTGGGTCTACACCATAGATAATATTACACACTTCAGACCTGGATAATATACAAGGTGCGGACATCTGCCTGCATCATCCACATAATCTTAGTATATCAACAGTCATCTTCGAAGTCATTATATATATATGAATAAATATGATGTCCTTTTATCTGCCTTAGATTGGAGGCCTGAGTCCGGGTGGAGACCGGGAGGGTGTATGTGTGGGTGGAGACCGGGAGGGTGTATGTATGGGTGGAGACCGGGAGGGTGTATGTATGGGTGGAGACCGGGAGGGTGTATGTATGGGTGGAGACCAGGAGGGTGTATGTGTGGGTGGAGACCGGGAGGGTGTATGTATGGTTGGTGACGGTTACAACCACAATGAGAATCTTGCAATTCATTCTCATTGGCTGGCTGAGGCAGACGACACAGTGTAAACAGACAGGTCTGTCTTTGGTCTCATCAAACGTCTGGTGTACGTAGCACCAACACAGTATAGTGAGCACCGCAAGACGTGACTTGCGGTGCTCAGTTATTGAGCCCATGAACACCGTCGGGGAACTTACCAAAGGAGCCGAGGCGGTAGTGAATAACGACGAGGATAACGTCACGGTCGAGGAGCTTGGTGGGGAGGTAGAGGGAGGAGTCGCCGGAGACGAAGGCGCCGCCGTGGATGAAGAACATCACTGGCAGCAGGGTGCCGTTCGGCAGCTGCCGAGAGTCAAGGATCACTACAACATCCACTCTTACACGAGCACATCAAAGGCTTACGTGTGTGTGTGTGTAAAAACATAACTACAAGTACTTTACAAAGCTGAAAATAACTGAAGGAGCCTGAACATTGTAATAAGGGTGACTGAAGAAGCCTGAGCACTGTAATAAGGGTGACTGGAGGAGCCTGAGCATTATAATAAGGGTGACTGAAGGAGCCTGAGCACTGTAATAAGGGTGACTGAAGGAGCCTGAGCACTGTAATAAGGGTGACTGAAGGAGCCTGAGCACTGTAATAAGGGTGACTGGAGGAGCCTGAGCATTATAATAAGGGTGACTGAAGGAGCCTGAGCACTGTAATAAGGGTGACTGAAGGAGCCTGAGCACTGTAATAAGGTTGACTGAAGGAGCCTGAGCACTGTAATAAGGGTGACTGAAAGAGCCTGAGAACTGTAATAAGGGTGACTGAAGGAGCCTGAGCACTGTAATAAGGGTGACTGAAGGAGCCTGAGCACTGTAATAAGGGTGACTGAAGGAGCCTGAGCACTGTAATAAGGGTGACTGAAGGAACCTGAGCACTGTAATAAAGGTGACTGAAGGAGCCTGAGCACTGTAATAAGGGTGACTGAAGGAGCCTGAACATTGTAATAAGGGTGACTGAAGGAGCCTGAGCACTGTAATAAGGGTGACTGAAGGAGCCTGAGCACTGTAATAAGGGTGACTGAAGGAGCCTGAGCACTGTAATAAGGGTGACTGAAGGAGCCTGAGCACTGTAATAAGGGTGACTGAAGGAGCCTGAGCACTGTAATAAGGGTGACTGAAGGAGCCTGAGCACTGTAATAAGGGTGACTGAAGGAGCCTGAGCACTGTAATAAGGGTGACTGAAGGAGCCTGAGCACTGTAATAAGGGTGACTGAAGGAGCCAGAGCACTGTAATAAGGGTGACTGAAGGAGCCTGAGCACTGTAATAAGGGTGACTGGAAGAGCCTGAGCACTGTAATACGAGTAACTGGAGGAGCCTGAGCATTGTAATAAGGGTGACTGGAGAAGCCTGAGCACTGTAATAAGGGTGACTGGAGGAGCCTGAGCACTGTAATAAGAGTAACTGGAGGAGCCTGAGCATTGTAATAAGGGTAACTGGAGGAGCCTGAGCACCGTAATAAGAGTGGCTGTAGGAGCTTGAGCAGCGTAATAAGAGTGACTGGAGGAGCCTGAGCACTGTAATAAGGGTGACTGAAGGAGCCTGAGCACTGTAATAAGGGTGACTGAAGGAGCCTGAGCACTGTAATAAGGGTGACTGTAGGAGCCTGAGCACTGTAATAAGGGTGACTGAAGGAGCCTGAGCACTGTAATAAGGGTGACTGAAGGAGCCTGAGCACTGTAATAAGGGTGACTGAAGGAGCCTGAGCACTGTAATAAGGGTGACTGAAGGAGCCTGAGCACTGTAATAAGGGTGACTGGAGGAGCCTGAGTACTGTAATAAGAGTGACTTTAGGAGCCTGAGTACTGTAATAAGAGTGACTGGGGGAGCCTGAGCACTGTAATAAGAGTGGCTGGAGGAGCTTGAGCAGCGTAATAAGAGTGACTGGAGGAGCCTGAGTACTGTAATAAGAGTGACTGGAGGAGCCTGAGCACCGTAATAAGAGTGACTGGAGGAGCCTGAGCAGGGTAATAAGAGTGACTGGAGGAGCACTGTACCCATGGAGTGTAGACGTTGAGGAAGAGACAGTCCTCGTCACCTGCGGCCACCTTGCCCAACATGGCCTTCTGCGGACACATGGACCCGATGTTGTGTGCCGCCAGAGTGTCGCCCTCCCAGTACACTCCGGCTGGCACCGTTTTCTGAATACAACAACATACGTCCCAATGTTAAATTAAAGCATTGTTAAAAAGGCAGGAAATCAATGTCTAAATAAGAGCAAAGTAATGAGAACAAAGTATTGAGATCAAAGTAATAAGAACAAAGTAATGGATACAGAGGTAACTGTTTGAAAGTGTAATCTACAATTGACTTTAAACGTTCTGGAAAAGACAACGGAGACAGCTGTGTCAGGTACAATCTGTATCTGCAGGCGAGAATGTCTGTCTCTCTGCTAGGCGGGAGACCTGCAGACCATCACCCGACTTTGCAGTGATTGGTGAGGGGAGGTGAACAGCATAGGGTGGTCCGGGTCGGTCTCAAATGCTTTCAATAAAACGTTGGCAGCTCCGATGGCAACCCCATGAAACTTATGCATATAAAAGGAGACTCGGGTTCGATCCTCCACACGGGAGACATCTCCCGTCACGCAGGGTGCAGTCGCACCTCCACAGATCTCCAGTATCAGCTCTTGATACTGGTAATGGCTCAAAAGAGCCACCACTTACGGGCTATTCATGCCTGTGCCACCTTTTGGGTGGCTTAATCTTCATCAATCAATCAATCGATCCTCCGTGGGTCAATCCAGATACTTTCTATAGCTGGGTCGACCTAAGCGCCACCCAGTCGACCCAAGCACCACCGAGTCGACCCAAGCACCAACGAGTCGACCCAAGCACCACTGAGTCGACCCAAGCACCACCGAGTTGTTACAGTCGACACCGTTTAAGATAGGTGGCTTGTATTGAAGGTAGTGTGGATACGCCCTTGTACAAAACATGCAGTAGTTCTGCCTTGGAAAGTTGGGAAGGGTTCATCCCAGGATATTAGAGCAGAGGTGCGTACGCAAGAATCACCAGCTTCTCCTTGTATTTAAATTATCACTTTTGAGAAATTCATTTATTAAAGTAACTGTAATTAATAACCTCTTTTGTCAAGTACGCAGATTAATTTAATGTCATTTATGAATAAATAATCAAATCTCCTCCTTAGTTCAAAATGAGACGACTCATGTAAGGACCGGCAACACCTGCAGCCTCAGGTCAGGTGGTCAGCAAGACGGTGGTCTCCCCCCACCTTCACCCTCCCTCTACTCCAAGACTCCATCTTGTTAATTCAGTAATGTAGAGAAATTCAAGTTATCATTCAATACCTGGTTGATACCTGGTTGATGGGGTTCTGGGAGTTCTTCTACTCCCCAAGCCCGGCCCGAGGCCAGGCTCGACTTGTGAGAGTTTGGTCCACCAGGCTGTTGCTTGGAGCGGCCCGCAGGCCCACATACCCACCACAGCCCGGTTGGTCCGGCACTCCTTGGAGGAATAAATCTAGTTTCCTCTTGAAAATGTCCACGGTTGTTCCGGCAATATTTCTTATGCTTGCTGGGAGGACGTTGAACAACCGCGGACCTCTGATGTTTATACAGTGATCTCTGATTGTGCCTATGGCACCTCTGCTCTTCACTGATTCTATTCTACATTTTCTTCCATGTCGTTCACTCCAGTACGTTGTTATTTTACTGTGTAGATTTGGTACCTGGCCCTCCAGTATCTTCCAGGTGTATATTATTTGATATCTCTCTCGTCTTCTTTCTAGTGAGTACATTTGGAGGGCTTTGAGACGATCCCAATAATTTAGGTGCTTTATTGCGTCTATGCGTGCCGTATATGTTCTCTGTATTCCCTCTATTTCAGCAATCTCTCCTGCTCTGAAGGGGGAAGTGAGCACTGAGCAGTACTCAAGACGGGACAACACAAGTGACTTGAAGAGTACAACCATTGTGATGGGATCCCTGGATTTGAAAGTTCTCGTAATCCATCCAATCATTTTTCTGGCTGTCGCAATATTTGCTTGGTTATGCTCCTTAAACGTTAGGTCGTCAGACATTATTATTCCCAAATCCTTTACATGCTGTTTTCCTACTATGGGTACATTTGATTGTGTTTTGTACTCTGTATTATGTTTAAGGTCCTCATTTCTACCGTACCTGAGTACCTGGAATTTATCACTGTTAAACATCATGTTATTTTCTGATGCCCAGTCGAAAACTTTATTAATATCAGCTTGAAGTTGTTCAATGTCCTCAGCCGAGGTAATTTTCATACTGATTTTTGTGTCATCTGCAAAGGATGATACGAAGCTGTGACTTGTATTTTTGTCTATATCTGATATGAGAATAAGGAAAAGCAGCGGTGCAAGGACTGTACCCTGAGGTACAGAGCTTTTCACTGCACTTGGACTAGATTTTATATGGTTGACAGTTACTCGCTGAGTCCTGTTTGACAGAAAACTGAGTATCCAGCGTCCTACTTTACCGGTTATTCCCATTGACTTCATTTTGTGTGCTATCACGCCATGGTCACATTTATCGAAAGCCTTTGCGAAGTCCGTGTATATCACATCAGCATTCCGTTTCTCTTCTAATGCCTCAGTGACTTTGTCGTAGTGCTCAAGTAGCTGTGAGAGGCACGATCTTCCCGCTCGAAACCCATGTTGGCCTGGGTTGTGAAGGTCATTGGTCTCCATGAAATTGGTGACCTGACTCCTAATCACTCTCTCAAATACTTTTATGATGTGCGATGTTAGCGCAACTGGTCTATAATTTTTTGCCAATGCTTTGCTCCCTCCCTTGTGTAGAGGGGCTATGTCTGCTACTTTAAGTGCATCTGGTATCTCCCCCGTGCATTCCAATATCCCAATATTGCATTTTATCATATACTTGCTGAAGTATCTAGAAATTTTCCAATTGTTTTCGAATGATGATTAAGTCGCCTTCAGCGATCAGCACAAGATTAATCTTTGTTAATCATCTTTGAAGATTAATTTGGCAACTAAGACTCTCAGCTTGAGAGAGCAGGCTAACCGCCGCTAAGGTCAGTGTGGTTTGAGCAGCGCCTGGAGGAAGTGTCTCCTCCCTGGGGGGAGGTCAAGGTCATGACCTCTGGCCCAGCACTTTGCAGGGGGTAGGGGTAAAAGTCTGTTGGTTAATGTATTGCTTAAGCACTTCATGCCATTGCCCATCGTAGGATATTGTAATTTAGGGGTTTTTCATTTATAACTAATTTGTGTTTTAATACATTTAATTATTCATTTATTCGTGTTTAGTGAGTTTCCCCTCAAATTGTGTTTCATGATTATGCGGATCTTGAGATCCTGGGCTTTAGGCAATAACACGATGGGTTCTCTGTAAGTTTCTTTATCGTTTTAAAAGATTTTTCTCCTGTTCTAGTTCAGTTAGCCACATTTAATAGTAACTTTATCCCTCCTATTCATAACTGGGGATCCATATTAGGGGAAATATGTCATATTGGCGGTTTCCTGTATCATCGTCAATTAGGGGGGCTAATCAGGGGGAAGTAGATTCAGGGGGGTGGCAGTGAATTGTTCTAGAGTTCTCTAGAGTTGCTGGTAGCTGATCAGGTATAATGCCTTGTTTGTATAGTACCTAGGTAATTAATGCCTAGGTAACAAGGTGTTGAACTAGAGAGGTTGCAGTGGTAACTCTGGGGGAACTTTAGAATAGTTAACTAAGGGCGGGCTAATGGACTAAAGAGAACCATTTCCCCCAACCTCGTTACAGAGTCGACTCAAGTACCACCGGGTCGACCCAAGCACCACCGGGTCGACCCAAGCACCACAGAGTCGACCCAAGTACCACCGGGTCGACCCAAGCACCACAGAGTCGACCCAAGCCCCACCGGGTCGACCCAAGCATCAGTGCGTGCCCCATCTATTTTGGAAAACAACATTCTATGATATTTTATATAATAAGAAAGTATAGACCATCACAGGGATAAGGCGCCCTGAGATAAGGGTAGATGCCAGAACATTGCTGCATTTCAAAATCTAGTTGAATAAAATCTTCAGGATAAATGGGTACCTTTAACAAGCCGCCGGCTTCCTGTCCTCGTCGAAGCCACTAGAGAGATGATGGCCTTCAGGTAAATATTCACTCAGAGCTATACCTTGCTTCTCGATGAATATACACTCGGAGTGTACTGTAGTCACTGGACTATGTTTATGTGCCAAAGTTCACTCGCTGATTTGTCAGCGGACAATTGTGACGACCTTAATGACTGTGCAGAGGTTGGCGGGACTCAAGCCCAACACCTGACCATCTCTCGTGTATCCCGGGAAGTTTGTGGCTTTTGTGCTCAGGAAAACGTCAGAGAATTGTCACATTCACATGAATGCTTCATTAATGTAATATTATAGTAAAATTGTCCTAAAATATATTAATATACGACTGTATTTTGTTTATGAACAATTTGATACGATATAATGAACAAGGTGTTATGCATGAACACTATGACATAATGAACAAAGGATAATAGATTGTGATAAAGTGATATAATTTAGAGTAAGCAAGGATGCAGCGAAGGACACAAGGAACTGAGGATTTAAGTAAACCCTTAACATGAACCAGGGTAAGTAAACCCTTAACATGAACCAGGGTAAGTAAACCCTTAACATGAACCAGGGTAAGTAAACCCTTAACATGAACCAGGGTAAGTAAACCCTTAACATGAACCAGGGTAAGTAAACCCTTAACATGAACCAGGGTAAGTAAACCCTTAACATGAACCAGGGTAAGTAAACCCTTAACATGAACCAGGGTAAGTAAACCCTTAACATGAACCAGGGTGAGTAAACCCTTAACATGAACCAGGGTAAGTAAACCCTTAACATGAACCAGGGTAAGTAAACCCTTAACATGAACCAGGGTGAGTAAACCCTTAACATGAACCAGGGTAAGTAAACCCTTAACATGAACCAGGGTGAGTAAATCCTTAACATGAACCAGGGTGAGTAAATCCTTAACATGAACCAGGGTAAGTAAATCCTTAACATGAACCTAGGTATGGAAACCCTTAACATGAATCTGGGTAAGGGAACACTTACCTTGAACCTAAGGGTAGACTTTGGCGCCATCCCGTACTTGATCCCTTGGAAGGCATATATAGTTCTATTGTTGATGGTCATCATTGTCTTCCCAGTCACGTTGGTAGTGAAGTTGGCTCCATTGAGGTTGGGGTGTGTTACTATGGGCGGGTCGGCTGCCTCCACGGTGTACCTGCAAGACCAGAGTGTGCTTTTAAGAGATCCAAGACGGTGGGAGAAACACTGTGGGAGGATTGTGTTCTTAGGAGAGGGGCGAAGAAGGCCAGGGGCCAGATTCACGAAGCAGTTACGCAAGCACTTACGAACCTGTACATCATTTCTCAATCTTTGGCGGCTTTGTTTACAATTATTAAACAGTTAATGAGCTCCGAAGCACCAAGAGGCTGTGTATAACAATGCAACAGATGATTGGGAAGTTTTCATGCTTGTAAACTGTTTAATATATGGAACCAGAGCCATCAAAGATTGAAGAAAGAATGGTGTTCCCTTTCTTTCCCCTTCAAGTACTTCACGTTCGTAATTACCTGCGTAAATGTTTCGTGAATCTGGTCCCCGGAGAGTAGAAGGGGGCGGGGGTCCTAGCGACGTTTTTTTTTTTTTTTTTCAAATTTGTCGCTGCAGTCTTAAGGAGTTCTTATGGGATAAATATTCGCTGCGGTGTTAATGAAAAAAATCGTCGCTGTGGTGTCAAGGAGTTCTTATGGGGAAATTCGTCTTTGCGATGTTAAGGAATTCTTATGGTGAACATATACTCACTGTGGTCTTAAGGATAACTTATACAAGCTAAGCTGTAGCTGTTTAAGAGAGAAGTTAAGGTCAGAGGATGTCCAATTTCAGAGTATATGTTAAATAGGAGCGTGTGAAGTAATTAATATTGCCAAACATTAGTTCATAGACCTGCCTCTTAATGTTTATAGGTGTATTTTCGCTACTATCAACGTGATTTTCATAAGATATAAAACAGCTGAATTTCGGACGTAGTTAAGGAGATAAAGTTATTTACCGAGTTTCAGCTCTTTTCCCCTTCCTTAGTTCGCTCTTAAAACTTCGCTATTATCAGTTCAAATTTCCAGAGATTTAAACAGACATATTTCAGATTCATTAAGAATAAATGAGATAGTTCTCAAGATCCAGCCCCCCCCCCCTCCTCCATCTAGTTCGCTCTTGTATTTTCAACAGCATCAGCTCAATTTTCCCGAGATTTAAAATATAGTTACTTCAGTCACATTATTTACAAATGAAATAATTACCACCTTAGTTCACCCTTATTATTTTGTTACTATCAACGTAATTTTCACTAGATTTTAAATATAGTTATTTCAGTCACATTAAGTACAAATGAAATATTTACCGAGTTATCCAAGTCGTAATTCATATTTATAGTTTCGGACAGTTAAACTTAATTCCTTGCATTTCCTTTATGCATTTCAAGCAAGCGGGCAGATCAACAATCAAACAACATTCTCTTCCTCCCTCCCATTTCTCTCTCCTCCCTCTCTCTTTGTTCCAATCACTCCACGCCTCTCTCCCTATCCTCCGCGCTACCTGTCTCCACATTAATCTTGGCACCCGCGCCACCCGCTCTCTCATCTTCCTCCCCCCCCTCGCGCCCTCTCTACTCTCCTCCGCTCTCACTATCTCTCTTAAGCACACCTCCCCTTCTGTTCCCTTTCCCCAACTCCACCCAAACCTTCTTTCTCAAACCCACCCCTCACAGCTTTGTCTGCAATAATTTAATTTTTTTCACGTCTCTCTCTCTCTCTGTCTCTCTCATTTACTTCGTTATATTCTTGTTACCTATTCTACATTTCAGACATAGTAAATTAAACAATGCAGTTACCGAGGTATAGCTCTGCCTCTGCTTTTGTTCAAATGTTATTCAAAACAGTTATTTCTGAACAAGTGTTAGCTCTCAACCGTTGCTAACGGTCGAGATTTATTTAGCTAAAAATTTTTCATTTGTAATCTTTTTTATTTCAATTTTACAAATTACTTATTTATTACACATTATTTAGATATTTTCAAATTTATTTGGTCATTTACAAGTTATATATTACAAATTATTTAGACATTTAGAAATTTATTTAATTATTTACAAATTATTTATTTATTTAGTCATTTACAATTTATTATTGCAAATTACTTATTTCAGTTAGTTGCAAAATATTTATTTTAGTTACAAGTTACATATTCCAGTTAGTTAAAAATTATTTATTTTTGTTTATAAATAAATAATTTGTATCTGATGTAATTATAAATAAATAATAAATATCTTTTTTATTTTAGTTACAAATAATTTACTTAAAATCTTTTTTATTTTAGTTATAAATTATTTATTTACAATCTTTTTTGTTTTAGTAACAAATTATTTATTTACAGTACTTTGTTATTTTAGTTACAAATTATTTACTTTTTTACAAATTATTTATTATAATTTATTTATTTACTTATTACAAATTATAATTTAGTTATTAACAAAAGGATTTTTTGTACCTACAAATTTTATTTACAAACTTTTAATCATATATATATATATATTTTCGAAGACACTGTCAATGTATTTCTCTTTAACAACTTAATATTTCTTACTAACACTGTTCTTAAGCAAAACTACGTTCTATGCAGTAACAAATTACCTATGACATTCTTTTCATATCTCATCTTAATTAAGAATACACTTCCTGCATTAAGAAAAATAGTCAAAGGTAACTTTCTTCATATTGTTTCTAAACTTATGTTATTCTCTGAGACCTCTTTATGTATTAAAGACACTCTCCATGCCCTTTTTATGTAAGAAAGATACTATCAGAGACATCAAGGATAATCTCAAAGACATCAAGAATAATCTCCGAGGCATCTTTGTTTATCAATAGTACTCTCCAAGCCATCTTCAAGATACTCTCAAAGGCATCAAGAATATCCTCTAAGACATCAAGAAAACTAAGTAGTTTTCTCTGTCATATATATTATTATTAAATTTACAATGACATTTCTTGTAATGTAACTTGTTTATATACTAACTTTCCATACCATAACTTTATAATATCTATGACAAAACATTCTATCAAGTTAATACAGATGTACTAAGACAAACATGTTAACAGCATTTACTATGTCTTACTGTTAATAACAATTCACTCACAAAACACTGTTCTTTAAGAAACTAGTTCAACTTTTCGTAACAAACGTACAGTTCTGTTTATTAATGAATGAAATGTGTTTTAAAATGATGATCTCTAAAGAGCCTCATTTTAAAACATTTAAAATGATGCTCTCATTTTAAACATTAATAGAAATTAATGTTTAAAATTTATTCTCTTACCAACTTTGTCTTAAAATTATTCTCTGAACAACAATGCATTATCCTACCTAACCTGACTTACCTGAGCTAACCGAACCTAATGTAACTTACCTTACCTGACCTGCATAACCCAACTTACCTAACCTCACCTACCTACCTAACCAAACATACTTAACCTCACCTACGTAACCCAACTTACCTAACCTAACCTACCTAACTTACATAACTTACCTAACCTCACCTACCTAATAAAATTTACCTAAACTCACCAACCTAGCTACACTTACCTAACCAAACTTACCTAACCTTACCTACCAAGCTACACTTACCTAACCAAACTTACCTAACCTCACCAACCTAACTTACATAACTTGCATAATTTAACTTCCCATACCTAACCTAACCTAATCTACCTATCCCATCTTACCTATCCTCACCTAGATGATGTAACTTAGTATAACTTCCATAACCTAACTTACTTACCAAACTTAACATAACATAACTTAACAAACTTAATATAACATAACTTACCAAACTTAACATAACATAACTTACCAAACCTAACTTAACGAAAATTCCCTTACATAACCTAACCTACCCTACCCAACTCTCCTACCTGATGTAATTTACATAACTTCCATAACCTAACCAGCCTGACATAACTTACTTAACCTATCCTAACTTACATAACGTAACTTACCTAGCCTCACCTACCTAACGCACATAACATAACATAACTTATTTAAAGCAGGATCTTATTCTCTCTGAAGCATCAACTCTTCATTTATTATTTACCAAGAAAACACTCTTTCACACTTACCATTACACACCATCACTTTTATGAACAAATTGTGTAGTGTCATCACTTTTATGTTACATTCACATTCATATGTAGATTTACATAAAATACCTGTGACACATACACTTTCACATAAATTGCATAAATACTTACACAAAATATATGTCTCAATCTCATCTACACATACAATTACATTCACAAACTAGCATAAACTTATACAAATTCATACAACTCTCACAAAATTCATACACATGTTTATATACAAATCATGCAGAAATTTACTACGGGCTCACCATAGTAGTCTTCTCATTCAGCACTTTTATGTTTAAGTGATCCATTTATTCAATAACCTATGTTAAGTTTATGTTTTTCATCAACTAAATCATTAAAGCTACACATCTCATCAGTTACATATATGTTTTCTGCCAGACATTCATGTTGAATAATCTCTCGCATTATATATAAGTACCAGATATAAAGCTTTTGTTTAGTACACATTTGTTCTTTAAGAAATATGTCTTTCTAATATTTAGTTTTAAGATTTACATTAAATTGTCCTCTAAATATTTATCTTTCTGTATATTTATGTTTTGTGGGATATACTTTCCTTTAACCTAACCTCTTTTAGATCTTTGTGTATTTTGTTGTGTGATGCTGCTTTAAATAAGTTATGTTATGTAAGTTAGGTAGGTGAGGTTAGGTAATTTACGTTATGTAATACAAGTTAGTAAGTTATATAAGTTAGGTTAGGTTAGGTTAGTTACATCAGGTAGGTTTGGTTATGGAAGTTACGTTAAGTTACATCAGGTAGGAGAAGCTAAGTAATTTGAGTTGGGTAAGTTAGGTTAGGTTTGGAAAGTTATGTAAGTTATGTTATGTCAGGTAGGTAAGTTATGTAAGTTACATTATGTTAAGTTACATCAGGAAGGTGAGAATAGGTAAATTGAGATAGGTTAGGTAAGTTACATCAAGAAGGTTAGGTTAGGTATGGGAAGTTATGTTATGCAAGTTATGTTAGATAAGTTATGTAAGTTAGCTAGGTGAAGTTAGGTAAGTTGGGTTTGATTGGTGAGGTTAGGTAAGTTAAGTTAGGTTGATGGGAATAGATAAATTGGGTTAGGTCGGTGAGGTTAGATAAGTTGGGTTAGGTCGGTGAGGTTAGATAAGTTGGGTTATGTAGGTGAGGTTAGGTGAGTTGCATTAGATTAGGTTAGCTCAGGTAAGTCAGGTGATGTAGGATAATGCATTATTGTTCAGAGAATAGTTTTAAAATAAAGTGGTAAGGGAATATATTTTAAACATACATGTAAGTTTTTAATGAAAAGTTTAACTAGTTACCTAAAGAGTAACTAGTTTTGTGAGAAAGTTAATAACTTTCAACTTAAAAGGTGAATAACAAAGAAATGAGACTTAGTAAATGCTGTTAACATGATTGCATTAGTACCTCTGTATTAAGTTGATAGAAAGTTTTGACAGAGATAAATAATATCAAAGTTACGGAATGTTATTGAATAAACAAGTTACATTACGAGATATGTCTTTGGTAAAAGTTTGTCTTAATAATACATATGGCAGAGAAAAGCTACTGCCTAATGGAAGTTATATGAATAAGAAATGTTATTGAGGGAGAGAGAGAGAGGAGGTATTTTTCCAAGTGACATAACAGAGATGTGCGATATATTAAATGTTATTAACACGTTTGACTGTAAATGTCATAGTGAAACTATTAATGCAAAAAAAGTTTGTTATTTTATTAACTGTACATGAAGCATCAGTTTATTATAAGATAAAATCATGAAATATTGCGAAAAGTTGTACATGTTAAGTCTGATATATTAAGTTGAATGCAAAGATGTAAAAATATCTGAACATTGAACTAGATGCATTGTAAAATCTGTATTAGTAAGTTTTATTAGAACATAAACCGTAATGTTAGGTTTATATAAAAAAAAACACCCTTGACTATATATTAAATAAAATGATGAACAATGCTTGTCACAGAGAGAGTTGTCTTAGATGCATGAACATGTCCTAGAAAGTACACTTTGATGAACAAAGGTAACCTTGATGCCTTGGGGCGTAAACTTTGTAACATGCTTGATGTTTCTGTGAGAATGTTTTGGAGTCTCTGAGAGTATCCTTGTTGCATAAAAACATCACGGAAAGTGTCTTTTAATGCGTGAAGATGTCTTGGAGAGATTCTTTTAAGTCCTTTGATCCAAGAAGATTTTTGTTTCTACTACAGACGTGGCCACACATTTACAATGGTAACCAACATATATACACCTTCTTCTGTCCTCCATGGATAGGGTTAGAGATCTGTTAAACATATAGTTCAGTGATTTATTGAACAACCTGTGGTTGATTATAGTGCTTTTAAAATGCTAATCTAACTTACAAACATAGAGATACTTCGAGCACTTTGATGCTCGAAGGTGTCCTAGAGAATATCCTTGATGCCTCGGAGAGCATTCTAGATGTCTTTGAGATTATTCTTGATGTCTCTGAGTGTATCCTTTTTACATAAAGAGGCCATGGAGAATATCAGTGATGGCTCAGAGAATATCCGTAGATGTGTAAAGAGGTCTTAGAATGTTTCCTTTGATGTACGAAGGTTTTTTGTTAAGAAACTTTGTGAAGAAGTTAACCACAATAATTTACTTCCTTTATGAAAGGGTACTGTTAGTTGAGATATAGTGTAGAGATGTTATCTAAAGTATTTTTTAGTGTATCCCTATTTAAGAGCGATGTCAGTGAGAAATATTAAGTTCATAAAAGAAATGCATTGACAGTTTTCCAAATAAGAATATAAAATGAGTAATATTTTTGCTGATAAAATCTGTAAGTTAATAACATTATTTGTAAATGACTAAACAATTCGTAAATAACTAAATAATTTTAAATTAAATTAAATAATTTGTAATTAGGTAATTAAATTTGTAAGTAAATAAATATGTTTTGCTATGAAAGGTTTCCCTAATCTTATTTGATGATACTGAAATGCGGGTTGTTCATACATAACAATGAACTAGATATTGCATAAATATGTAACAGAAACATTTTAGAACATTTTTGTTCTAAAATATAAAGAGAATATGTTAGAACATGTGAAGAACACAGAGAACTTGTGGAGGACATGAATTGAACTGGCTGAGAACAGGCTGTGAACATTCGGAGAACAAGACAAGAGTAAGAAAAGATGTAACTGAAACAATTGCCCATTTGGTATAAGAAATACAGAGAACATATAAGAGCATGTGAGGAATGCAGAGAACATGTCCGTATTAATTCTCCCCCCCCCCAGGCCTCTGAGTGAGAATGCAAAGATATATACATTAAGAGGCGGGTCCAAGAACTAACTTCATACACGGCTAATTGCTTTACAAACTCCAAACTAACATATCTTCCGAAAATTGACTTGATCTAAGATAAATTTACCCAAAAATGGGGTACAGCATAGCGAGGAATTGGCCATAGACCATAATTCGTCGCTCTGTCGTCATTTCTTCTATGCAGGAGAGAGAGAGTTCATTTTTGTGTGAGTTATGTTGCTCACCAACATGTCATTCCATGGTCCAGGACGGACCGAAATGTCGTCATTCCTTAATTTTTAAGTATGTGGGCCTGATGTCAACCCCTTCAGCCACGTTGCTGTGACTCATCGTCTACATTGTGGAGATAATATCTCCTCATAAGGTGAAGGAGCAATAATTATATTTTACTCTCATAAATAAGAAAATTTTATTTGTAATATAATGTTGGACATCGTCATATAATGCATCACTACAGAGCTCAGAATAATGGAGAGCAAAACACAGCACGTTGAACATATTTTCGCATGCACTAGTTGTTGTTTGCATGTTGACAGATGCATTGCCATGAATATTTGTCCAGTGGTGTGCCACACTTTGGTTATACAAACTGTTTTTAACTGTGGTTATTCTTGCAATACATCTCAGGTGTTGACTGTTGCAGTTGGGAGCTGTGATAGGTTTCAATATCCTTGAAGATGGTCTTTCTTAACCCAAATATTATGGCACCTTATGGAACAGTAACCCAAATATTATGGCACCTTATGGAACAGTAACCCAAATATTATGGCACCTTATGGAACAGTCAGCGGCATGAGTTGCAAATTGTAAAGCAGAGGCTCGGCTGGTGCTAAGATTAAACCACTTACTAAAACTTTAATGTTCTGTCAATTTATTAAAATTTTGCTTAATTGAGCAAGTGTAAAAGAAGAATGGATAAATAACATTTAATGGTGAAAAGGAAAATCAAATAATTGAATTAAAGACGAACACAAAAACCACTGACAGTATAGGCCTGAAACATTAATTATTTACTGAGATATTAAAATATTGAAAAACTGAACGAAGACAAGACTCTTTATTTAGATCGGTGGGTTAGTTAGGCCAGGTGTGTGGGCGGCCCATGAGAGCACCAGGTGTGTGGGCGGCCCATGAGAGCACCAGGTGTGTGGGCGGCCCATGAGAGCACCAGGTGTGTGGGCAGCCCATGAGAGCACCAGGTGTGTGGGCGGCCCATGAGAGCACCAGGTATGTGGGCGGCCCATGAGAGCACCAGGTGTGTGGGCGGCCCATGAGAGCACCAAATGTGTGGGCGGCCCATGAGAGCACAGGTGTGTGGGCAGCCCATGAGAGCACAGGTGTTTGGGCGGCCCATGAGAGCACCAGATGTGTGGGCGGCCCATGAGAACACCAGCGGTGGGCGGGATCTGGAACGACTGGCGACTAGGAAGGCGGCCGGAGGCAACACTGACTCGAAGTAAAGCTTCTGAAACTATGGTTTCAGGTCAAGTGCTGGGCTAGTGTTCTTGGCCCCCACAGAGGTGGGGGGCAGGAACAGGAGGTGGCCACCTCCTTTCTGGAGGTGGCCACCTCCTTTCTGGAGGTGGCCAGAAAGATGAGGGGAGTGGATGCCATAGTGACTGGAAGAGCATTAGAGAGGAAACCTTCCCATAAAACGTGATATCTGTTACTCACTGGTCCCAGAGGCCCTTGATGACCGCCTTCCTGTTTCCCCAGTAGTCCTCATCTGACCCCAGCTGAAGACCGGGGAGGTGTTCCAGCGGCGAGGACCTGGCCAGGGCTCCACCGGCCATCATCAACACCACGACAAGCCACCGCATCTGCAACACAGGTCACTATTAATCTGCAACACTGATCACTATTCATCTGCAACACAGGTCACTATTAATCTGCAACACAGGTCACTATTCATCTTCAACACAGGTCCCTAGTCATCTGCAACACAGGTCAATATTTATCTCCAACACAGGTCAATATTAATCTGCACCGCAGGTCACTATTCATCTGCAACACAGGTCACTGTTCATCTCCAACACAGGTCAATATTAATTTGCAACACAGGTCACTGTTTATCTGCAACACAGGTCACTGTTCATCTGCAACACAGGTCACTGTTCATCTGCAACACAGGTCAATATTAATTTGCAACACAGGTCACTATTCATCTCCAACACAGGTCACTATTCATCTCCAACACAGGTCACTATTCATCTCCAACACAGGTCACTATTCATCTCCAACACAGGTCACTATTCATCTACAACACAGGTCAATATTCATCTACAACACAGGTCACTATTCATCTCCAACACAGGTCAATATTCATCTGCAACACAGGTCACTATTCATCTACAACACAGGTCACTATTCATCTCCAACACAGGTCACTATTCATCTCCAACACAGGTCACTATTCATCTCCAACACAGGTCACTATTCATCTCCAACACAGGTCAATATTCATCTCCAACACAGGTCACTAAACATCTCCAACACAGGTCAATATTCATCTACAACACAGGTCACTAAACATCTCCAACACAGGTCAATATTCATCTACAACACAGGTCACTATTCATCTCCAACACAGGTCACTATTCATCTGCAACACAGGTCACTATTCATCTGCAACACATGTCACTATTCATCTGCAACACAGGTCAATATTCATCTCCAACACAGGTCAATATTCATCTCCAACACAGGTCACTATTCATCTCCAACACAGGTCACTATTCATCTCCAACACAGGTCACTATTCATCTCCAACACAGGTCAATATTCATCTACAACACAGGTCACTATTCATCTCCAACACAGGTCACTATTCATCTCCAACACAGGTCACTATTCATCTCCAACACAGGTCAATATTCATCTACAACACAGGTCACTATTCATCTCCAACACAGATCAATATTCATCTCCAACACAGGTCACTATTCATCTCCAACACAGGTCAATATTCATCTACAACACAGGTCACTATTCATCTTCAACACAGGTCAATATTCATCTCCAACACAGGTCACTAAACATCTCCAACACAGGGCAATATTCATGTACAACACAGGTCACTATTCATCTCCAACACAGGTCAATATTCATCTCCAACACAGGTCACTATTCATCTCCAACACAGGTCAATATCCATCTACAACACAGGTCAATATTCATCTCCAACACAGGTCAATATTCATCTACAACACAGGTCACTATTCATCTACAACACAGGTCACTATTCATCTGCAACACCGGTCACTATTCGTCTGCAACACAGTGTTATAGAGAGATCAGAAGAAGGAGGGAGGAAGAGAGGAGGAAAGATATTTAGTGCAAAGGTAAAGTTGAGAACGAGTTAGGGCTGATTAGTACGAGAGAAAGATAAAAAGGTAAGGCTGCCACTATCCATTTAATATATGTTTTTAGACGAGACATGGAACACGTCTCTTAAACCACAGTTATCACATTGATGATAACTTCCAATAACATTCAAACATTATATGTCTGTGAATAATATCCTAAGAACTTAGAGGCATTATTCCTCTATTAATGTTTGAATGTTATTGGAAGTTATTATTAATGTGATAACTGTGGTTTATGAGACGAGTTCCATTTATCGTCTAAAAATATATTTTATAAGGATGGTTCCAACTCTACCCACTTCTCGTTCTCTCCTACTAATCCTGTTATTTCGTCCGTAATACTCTTTTATAATTCTTTCTTGTCATCCCTAATTCTTTATCAACTTTACCTTTCCACTAAATATCTTTCTTCCTCTCTTTGTTCCTCCTTCCTCTTACCTCTCTAACTTCTCACTTACTTATCCTTCCATCCATTTAATTGCTTATTCTAACTAATTTTATCCCTCCTCCCCTTTCCGTTACAATGGTGGCAGCGGTATTTCGCAGTGTTTTTCGCGGGAGACATCTCCCGTCACGCAGGGTGCAGTCGCACTTAGACAGATCTCCAGTATCAGCTCTTGATACTGGTAATGGCTCAAAAGGGCCACCACTTACGGGCTATTCATGCCCGTGCCACCTTTTGAGTGGCTTAATCTTCATTACTCACTCAATCTGAGCAGTGTTAATACAGTAATACAGATTGTAGTAATTAACACTGCTAAGTCCCAGGTGTCTCTTGCCGTCCAGGCGTTATCACGGAGTGTGACAGGTTTAATACTCGTGATATGGAGAGTTTTCATGTTTGATGGTAATAATTCTTTTGGGGGTATGTTCTCGTGATTTGGGAGATCTGTAGAGTTCCAGAAACGTTGACCAGGACTGAAGTGCCGAATGAGATTTGCTGTGCGGATCTTCTTGAGGTTATCTTGAGATGATTTCGGGGCTTTAGTGTCCCCGCGGCCCGGTCCTCGACCAGGCCTCCACCCCCAGGAAGCAGCCCGTGACAGCTGACTAACACCCAGGTACCTATTCACTGCTAGGTAACAGGGGCATTCAGGGTGAAAGAAACTTTGCCCATTTGTTTCTGCCTCGTGCGGGAATCGAACCCGCGCCACAGAATTACGAGTCCTGCGCGCTATCCACCAGGCTACGAGACCCCTCGTAAATATATAGTGATAAATATTTGGCCATTTAGTTATTTATCTTTTGACTTAGCTTGTGGAGGTCAGGCTGAGTCGAGGGAGGTGACCTGTGATGTCTTAGGGGAGACCCCGGCAGCGCTCGCGGGATAGATATGACTTAGTGTTAAGAGATTATTAATAAGATATAATATTATGATTATTGTACTTTGGATATTACCTTTAGGAAAGTCATAGTTATAAAAGTGATAATTTTAAGAACGCTCTTTAGCGGTTAAGATTGATAACTTTCTTTGTAAATTATGGTTATTGACAAATCAATATTGTGTTATTTATTTATCAATGAACTTCATGCTTGTATGAGCGGGTTTGGGTATTGTTAGGTTGTTAAGACGTAATTTTTAAGGGAGGACATGCTTGGCAGTTGTGTTGCGGAAGCACGCTCTCACCGGCCTGACGGAGGCAGTTACTTGGCTCTCTCATCTTAGTTCTCTCATCGGCTCTCTCACCTCCCCGGGCGAGAGTGGTAGGTTTAGGTCACCTACAGGTGACCCAGACCACCTTTACAACTGCTACTAAAGGTCACTATTCATCTGCAACACAGGTCACTATTCATCTGCAACACAGGTCACTATTCATCTGCAACACAGGTCACTATTCATCTGCAACACAGGTCACTATTCATCTGCAACACAGGTCACTATTCATCTGCAACACAGGCCACTATTCATCTGCAACACAGGTCACTATTCATCTGCAACACAGGTCACTATTCATCTGCAACACAGGCCACTATTCATCTGCAACACAGGTCACTATTCATCTACAACACAGGTCAGTATTCATCTGCAACACAGGTCACTATTCATCTGCAACACAGATGACTTACCATGACGGCCCCAGAGCACCATTATTTTGAGTCTTCACATGACACTAACCAGTTCTCTCGAGAACTGGGTAACTACGAGTGTTGAAAACTGAGCCAAAACTTCGCATTGCACCCTCTCCCCCCCCCCCCTCCATCATAGTACTACTTCCCACGGACGTTAATATGATGGTAGTACGCACCTTGTCAACGTAGAGAAGTGCGGGCAAGAGAGATGTCAACGGTGAACAGTGTCTGAGCACCCACTGCCAGGCGAGTGGGTGGCCAGTGCAATCTCACCCCCCCCCCCCCCCCCACCCACCGCCCGGTGTTCTGACGCACCTCGTGATGCCTGTGATAACGCTCTTGCCTTTGCTGTTGAATTTTGTCATATAAAAATATGACATATTTTGCCTCGCCTCACGAGCATGAGTTCGAGGCGAGTGTCACCTCAGAGACCCATGGGTGTCTAGCTGGGTGCTCTCTCGGAGCTCCTGGACCGCCACCACACCACACCACTTTGGGGTTATAAAGGTTTCCTTGAAGATGACTCTATGAACGTTAAATGAGAGAACATTTAGTGAGAATGAACACCGACATGATCGAGGCAAGACAAGGATGGATATGGATTCACGGTGAAATAAAGATTAAATTAAGTTAGTTGAGCATTAATGTATATTGAGAGAGTGAGAGAGAGAGAGAGACAGACCTGGCTGTTATCTCTCTATCTAGAGATTGCAGCCGGGTCTACTGAACTTCTTGACTTTGTCGTAGATAATGACCAATCGCCCCTCGCTTCTGAGAAATGTTACCGCTGTGTTACTGACAATGGAATGAATTCCAAATTTCAAACTTTGTTCGTCTCAAATTTGTTAGGAAATTTTTCATCTTTTCCATCTTAGTATGTATTAGGTTGAATGAAAGGAATTCAAAATATACATAGAAGGAATACCAGGGACCGCAGCAACCAGCTCGAAGGACTGGACACAGCGTGTTTATAGCAGTGGTTTTCAGTCTCTAGTTTTCCCGAACTAATTTAACACTGAGGGTGTCTTGTTGTCTCGTCGGCCACCTTCAAGGTGGCTAGGGTTAGTAGCGGGCAGCTTGATAATAGCCGGTGAGACAATGGAGCAGAAATAATAGTGAGGTAAGCTGCTGGAACACCTGCCTAGGTGTCTCCTCTTGTACATGGTGCATTGTCTCCCTTTGTCTCCTCTCAGGAGCTGCACGAGTTTAGCAACAGTTAGGTACTAAGCCTCACTGAACCTACATCCGCTCATATCTGCAGCCTTCCTAATTCTTCCTTTAATATTGTTCAGTCTTCTCAAGAACACAAGAATATAGGAATCTGCGGAAGACCAATATTGACCAAGACATAACAGCTGCTATTCATAACTCTCGCTTGAAACGGTTCATCAACCCGACATAAATAATGTTACCCGGTAATTTATTCCTTAAATAAAAAATATCGTATTCGAAAACCAGTATGTATCCAGATCTTTTCTGAATCTAAACTAATCCAAGTTGAACCAATTGTTTCGTGTCTCATTTGGTGCTCATATATTTATCCCCCAACTAACATATAACCCAATTAACGTATACATCGTCATCTTTCTTTGTACATGCTCAAAGTCTCCATACTTGTCTCCGGACATACTTGTCTTAACTTGTCTCCATACCATAGTGTGGCGGCCTGACCGGAGCTGCATAATCTACATGCGACCTAACAAAGGTACGATAAAGCTAAAGATTAATATTAGACGTCTTATTGCTGATAATTATAGATATGAAATCCAGAATTGTGTATTTTTTTAACTTTTAAACAATAATTTATCATTCTGATTTGGTAATGTAAACTTTTTCAGCTGATATCCAGAAATACTATTATTAGTACCTGGGCTCAGAACAATAATTTTACTGTACTGAACTGCATCGGCCAATCTTTCATCCATGTTAAAAGTCTTCCTACATCGTCTTAACAATTTACAGTCATTTTCTGAATATATTTTCTACTCTGATTTTGTTCAGAGGGATGATGAGTCCCGGTAAAACAATCCCGCTGGCGAGAGGATCAACCTCGATGCTATTTTCTAATGTATCATGTGACTCCAGGAGAAGGAATTAGGTTCCCGTCTGTCATGAGAGCTATGCTCGAGATAATACCACCAGGTATTGGTGCCGCGACTAACAAGGAAGGGCAAGATCTCTAGCCCATTTCAACTAATGGTCTTGCTGCCTTATTACTACAAAAATAATTGAATTAACACTTGAGTTATTGATATCGCCTGCGATCGTACTTGTTAGTATTTAATTTTATTTCATTGTATCATATTGCATCTCGCTCTAGTTTAATTTTGATGGTCAGTACACAGTTACAAACTTCACTGGAACCCTTTAGTTACAGTGATCAATCGTAATACAGTGTGTCGGCACCATCTGCGTCGTGTCTATCATACAGTGTGTTGGCAGCACTGGCGTCGTGTCTATCATACAGTGTGTTGGCAGCACTGGCGTCGTGTCTATCATACAGTGTGTTGGCAGCACTGGCGTCGTGTCTATCATACAGTGTGTTGGCAGCACTGGCGTCGTGTCTATCATACAGTGTGTTGGCAGCACTGGCGTCGTGTCTATCATACAGTGTGTCGGCACCATCTGCGTCGTGTCTATCATACAGTGTGTCGGCACCATCTGCGTCGTGTCTAGAGAGGTCACATCTTTATCTCTTGATAACAATCATATCACAACCTCCATTTCTCCAGTGGTGTGTTCACTCATGTGTCGCTGGTGACGGTGGTGTTTTCACTCATGTGTCACTGGTGACGGTGGTGTGTTCACTCATGTGTCACTGGTGACGGTGGTGTGTTCACTCATGTGTCGCTGGTGACGGTGGTGTGTTCACTCATGTGTCACTGGTGACGGTGGTGTGTTCACTCATGTGTCACTGGTGACGGTGGTGTGTTCACTCATGTGTCACTGGTGACGGTGGTGTGTTCACTCATGTGTCACTGGTGACGGTGGTGTGTTCACTCATGTGTCGCTGGTGACGGTGGTGTGTTCACTCATGTGTCACTGGTGACGGTGGTGTGTTCACTCATGTGTCGCTGGTGACGGTGATGTGTTCACTCATGTGTCGCTGGTGACGGTGATGTGTTCACTCATGTGTCGCTGGTGATGGTGATGTGTTCACTCATGTGTCACTGGTGACGGTGATGTGTTCACTCATGTGTCGCTGGTGACGGTGTTGTGTTCACTCATGTGTCGCTGGTGACGGTGATGTGTTCACTCATGTGTCACTGGTGATGGTGATGTGTTCACTCATGTGTCACTGGTGACGGTGTTGTGTTCACTCATGTGTCGCTGGTGACGGTGATGTGTTCACTCATGTGTCGCTGGTGACAGAGGTGTGTTCACTCATGTGTCGCTGGTGACGGTGATGTGTTCACTCATGTGTCGCTGGTGACGGTGATGTGTTCACTCATGTGTCACTGGTGATGGTGATGTGTTCACTCATGTGTCACTGGTGACGGTGTTGTGTTCACTCATGTGTCGCTGGTGACGGTGATGTGTTCACTCATGTGTCGCTGGTGACGGTGATGTGTTCACTCGTGTGTCACTGGTGACGGTGATGTGTTCACTCATGTGTCACTGGTGATGGTGATGTGTTCACTCATGTGTCACTGGTGACGGTGTTGTGTTCACTCATGTGTCGCTGGTGACGGTGATGTGTTCACTCATGTGTCGCTGGTGACGGTGATGTGTTCACTCATGTGTCGCTGGTGACGGTGATGTGTTCACTCATGTGTCGCTGGTGACGGTGATGTGTTCACTCATGTGTCGCTGGTGACGGTGATGTGTTCACTCATGTGTCGCTGGTGACGGTGATGTGTTCACTCATGTGTCGCTGGTGACGGTGATGTGTTCACTCATGTGTCGCTGGTGACGGTGATGTGTTCACTCGTGTGTCGCTGGTGACGGTGATGTGTTCACTCGTGTGTCGCTGGTGACGGTGATGTGTTCACTCATGTGTCGCTGGTGACGGTGATGTGTTCACTCGTGTGTCGCTGGTGACGGTGATGTGTTCACTCATGTGTCGCTCGTGACGGTGATGTGTTCACTCATGTGTCGCTGGTGACGGTGATGTGTTCACTCGTGTGTCGCTGGTGACGGTGATGTGTTCACTCGTGTGTCGCTGGTGACGGTGATGTGTTCACTCATGTGTCGCTGGTGACGGTGATGTGTTCACTCATGTGTCGCTGGTGACGGTGATGTGTTCACTCATGTGTCGCTGGTGACGGTGATGTGTTCACTCATGTGTCGCTGGTGACGGTGATGTGTTCACTCATGTGTCGCTGGTGACGGTGATGTGTTCACTCATGTGTCGCTGGTGACGGTGATGTGTTCACTCATGTGTCGCTGGTGACGGTGATGTGTTCACTCGTGTGTCGCTGGTGACGGTGATGTGTTCACTCGTGTGTCGCTGGTGACGGTGATGTGTTCACTCATGTGTCGCTGGTGACGGTGATGTGTTCACTCATGTGTCGCTGGTGACGGTGATGTGTTCACTCATGTGTCGCTGGTGACGGTGATGTGTTCACTCATGTGTCGCTGGTGACGGTGATGTGTTCACTCATGTGTCGCTGGTGACGGTGATGTGTTCACTCATGTGTCGCTGGTGACGGTGATGTGTTCACTCGTGTGTCACTGGTGACGGTGATGTGTTCACTCATGTGTCACTGGTGACGGTGATGTGTTCACTCGTGTGTCGCTGGTGACGGTGATGTGTTCACTCGTGTGTCACTGGTGACGGTGATGTGTTCACTCATGTGTCACTGGTGACGGTGTTGTGTTCACTCGTGTGTCGCTGGTGACGGTGTTGTGTTCAATCGTGTGTCGCTGGTGACGGTGTTGTGTTCACTCATGTGTCGCTGGTGACGGTGATGTGTTCACTCATGTGTCGCTGGTGACGGTGATGTGTTCACTCATGTGTCGCTGGTGACGGTGATGTGTTCACTCGTGTGTCACTGGTGACGGTGATGTGTTCACTCATGTGTCACTGGTGACGGTGATGTGTTCACTCGTGTGTCACTGGTGACGGTGATGTGTTCACTCGTGTGTCGCTGGTGACGGTGATGTGTTCACTCGTGTGTCACTGGTGACGGTGATGTGTTCACTCGTGTGTCGCTGGTGACGGTGTTGTGTTCACTCATGTGTCACTGGTGATGGTGATGTGTTCACTCATGTGTCGCTGGTGACGGTGATGTGTTCACTCGTGTGTCACTGGTGACGGTGATGTGTTCACTCGTGTGTCACTGGTGACGGTGATGTGTTCACTCATGTGTCACTGGTGACGGTGTTGTG